GCTCATCCCAAGGCACAGCTGCCCGAACTCCCAGGGAATATCCTTGGGATAGAAACTCCCAGGATTGCAGGGCTGTTCCAGGGTGTTCCCAGCACTATCCCAGGTCTCCCAGAGCTATCCCTGTGCTACTCCAGAGCTATCCCAGGACTATCCCAAAGCTATTCCCAGGTGTCCCAGGGCTGTATCCCTCTGTCCTCCCAGAGCTATTCCCAGAGCTATTCCCAGGGCTATTCCAGAGCTACTCCAGGGCTATTCCCAGAGCTATTCCAGGGCTATTCCAGGGCTATTCCAGAGCTATTCCCAGGTGTCCCAGGGCTGTATCCCAGGGCTATTCCCAGTGCCATTCCCAGAGTTATTCCCAGCTCCATCCCTTTGCTGACCGATGTGGGAGTCGATCTCGACGATCTTCTCGATGCTGGCGGGCTCCATGAGGGGTGAGGTGATCCTCTTCTCCACCGCCAGGCACACGCCCTGCGCCGTCTGGATGCCGATGGCCGTGGAGCCCAGCTGGAAAACACCCCCAGATCCCCCAGATCCAGCAGGAATTCCCGATCCTGCCTCCCCTGCCAGCCCCAGGCAAAGCCGCTCCCAGTTATTCCCCAATCCCTCCCAGCTGGGGAGGCCTGAGGGGTGGGGAAGGTCCCGGGAATGCCCCTCTGGCAGAGGGAAGGGATTGAAGGGGGAAAAGGGGGTTCCCAGATGGGCCCAAATCCCAAATATCCCAGCACGAAACCGCAGGTACTTTGTTTTCCAGGAGCTTCCCAGGAGTTTTGCAGGAGCTCCTGGGAACCCCTGCCTGGATCCCAGAACCCAGGATCCCACCTTGATCCCATCAATCCATGCCTGGATCCCATAATCCTTGATCCCACCAATCCCTGCCTTGATCCCACCTCAGTCCACCAGCCCCTACACTGATCCCACCAACCCTGACCTTTATCCCACCAACCCCTGCCTGGATCCCTCTTGATCCCACCTTGATCCCAATAATCCTTCCCTTGATCCCACCAACCCCTGTCTTGATCCCACATTTATCCCACTCATCCCTACCTCGATCCCATATTGATCCCATCCACCCTAATCTTGATCCCACATTGATCCCATCCATCCTTACCTCGATCCCCCCTCAATCCCATGAACCCTCCCCCTGATCCCCCCTCCCAGGAGCTTTAATTCCCAATTGCTTGCAGGTTTTATCACCTTTCCCCCCCCTCTTCCCTCCTTTATCCCTCATTTCAGTGCTCCCAGGAGCTGAAGGCAGGACCCTTCTCTTCCCCAGGGCTCCTTCCCTTCATCCCAAACTATTCCCAATCCCATAAATACCCCCCAATAACCAGGAGCATTCACCAATTAAGGACATTTGGGGTTTCCTGCTTTGAAATCCAACCTTGTAGGGTCGGGATTGGGGGTTGCTTTGGGAACACAGGGAAGGGACCACCCCCGTGAATTCAGGGAAAAACGCTGGGATTTGGTCCTTCACGACCCCCAGGAGAGCAAGAATTGGGAAATTCGGGAGGGAAGACCCCGGGATTTATCCCAACCCACCCAGTATGGGGTTTGGAGGAGCCCCAGGAGCCCCAAAAAGCTTGGAAAAGGTGGTGGAGGGGACAGTACCTTGATGGCCTCGATGGCATATTCCACCTGGAAGAGCCTCCCCTCGGGAGAGAAGGTGTTCACACCCCTGCGGGGACAACAGGGACACTCGTGGGGGGCTGGAACACGGGGAAAGGGGTCCCGGGAGCCCCTGGAATTGGGGGATCCCACGAGCCCAGGGGTTTTCTGGACATCCCAAGGGATGGAGGCTCCAACCCCCACCCCGGGCAGCCCCTCCCAGGGCCAGAGCGGCGTTTCCCTGCAGGAATTGCCCCTCCCGGCAGGGAATTCCGGAGGGGGAAGGTCCCCTCTGAGCCCCCCCCGTCCCCAGGCTGAGCCCCCCCCGCTCCCCCAGGGCGCCCCCAGCCCTCGCTCACCCCCCGTGACTCAGCGGGGGCCGCCGCGCACTCACCGGTCGTACTCGGAGCGCGTCAGGAACATCGTTACGGTGCGGCCCGGGCGGCTTTTGGGGGATCCTGGGGGTTTTTGGGGGTCCCGGGGGGGTCCCGGGGGGTCTCGTGGGGTCTCGGGGGCTCCGCTCGCTCTCGGCCCTCACCCGGCACTGTGGAGCCACTTCCGGTCCCTCCCGGCGCCGCTTCCGCCCGCGCCGCGCGCTGATTGGGCAGAGCCGCGGCCAAGCGGCCAATGGGAGGGCGGGAGGGGCGGGATTAGAGGAGGGGGCGGGGCCACGGAGCGCGTGGGAGAATTGGTTGACGGGGCTGGTCATTGTGGAGGGGGCGGGGCCAGAGCACCAGGGGGCGTGGTCATGAGGCTGGGGGCGGGGCCACAGAGTGATGGGAGATTTGCTTGGGGCGTGGTTAACCGAGAAGGGGCGGGGTTATGTGATTAGGGGGCGGGGTTAGAGGGAGGGCACGGCGCGGTACCGGGAGGGGGTCCCTGGGACGGGGGTAACGGGGAGGGGACACCGGGCAGGGGCATCGGGAGAGGATACCGAGAGGGGGCCCTGGGGAGGGGCACAAGGGAAGGAGGTCCCGGGAGGAGACAACGGGAAAGGGGGTCCTGGGGAGGGGGCACCGGGAAGGAGTTACGGGAGGGGGGCACGGGGAGGGGGTGCCAGGACAGAGCCCCGGGGTGCCCTCGGGCCGTGCCGGGACCCCAGAGCTCGGCACCGTCAGCCCCGGCGGGACCCCCGTCCCGTCCCAGCGCCCCCGACTGACGGGGGGGTCGGAGGAGCCGATGGACGGACACACGGACACACGGACCCCCCCGCGGCGGGCGGGGGGCACGGGGGCGGCCCGGAGTGGGGGCTGGCCCGGGGGAGGGGGCTGTGCCGAGGGGGCGGGCCCGGGGGCGGGGGGTGCCCCGCGGCCTCCCCGGCAGCGGAGCGGTCCCAGCGGGCGGCGGAGGCAGCACCGACCGCCCCCGGCCCGGCCATGTCCGAGCCCGGAGCCCCCGCGGCCGGTGACAAAGCGACCCGGCTCCAGGTAGGGCTCCGGGGCCACCGGGCGGGGTCCCGGCGCGACCCCTCGGTGGCAGCGCACAGAACCCCCGGGGCGACCCCCAGTGCCAAGCCCCGGAGAAGCCCAGGGTGTCCCGGTGCGACCCCCGGTGCAGCCCCCGCTGCTGTGGGGCCGCGGCCGGAGCAGCCCCCCGGCCCCCCAGGGCAGCCCTAGCCCGGGGCAATCCCACCTGCAGCCCCCCGGTCCCCCGGGACAGCCCCGGGACAGCTCCCCCGATGTCCTGAGCAGCCCCCCGGTGTGGTCCCCTCAGTTCCCCCTGCCGGGACAATCCCGTCGCAGCCCCCCCGGTCCCCCCGAGCAGCCTCTCGGTCCCCCCGGGGCGCTCCCCCCGCTCGCTCGGAGCACCCCCAGCCCATCGAGGTACCCCCAGCCCGGGGCAGGCCCCGCTGCCGCCCCCTCGGTCCCGCCTTGCAGCCCCTCCTGCCCCCCCGTTCCAGCCCCCCCTGTCCCCGGAGCACCCCCCGGTGCCCCCTTGGAACCCCCCCCTCCCGGAGCAGCTCCCCGGTCGCTGCCCCCCCGTGCCCGGGATCCATCTCGTGGTGGCCCCCCCGATCCTTCCTTCCAGCCCCCCGACCCTCCCGGTGCAGCCCCCCCGTGCCCCGGATCGCCCCCCTGGTTCCCTGGAGCGGTTCCCGGTCCCCCAGGGCAGCTCCCGGTGCCGTCCAGGGGTTCCAGTTGTGTTCCCTGTATTCCCGGTGC